AAATACATTAAATGCTTTTAATAATTTAAACAATTCAATTTGAAATACTTGTCCTTTATCCAAAAATGGATCAACCATCAAGCAAAAGTTTGGATCGAAGGCGACAACAATCGTCACAACACGGTATCTTTGATTGTTCGTATATACTGGCTATATTTTACTAATATAGATAGCTAAGCTTATAAGAAACTATCACCAAAATACTCTGTAAAAATATTATGTTATAAAAGAATACATATATTTAAATGAGATCTTCAATACATACTTGAATGCTCACAATAATTATTATAGTTGATATTCCAATTAAAAACAATGGATACTTTATAGACTCAAATCTATTTACGCAAGTCACTTTAATGGCATTCTCGTATGTACACGTTCTATTTAGTAGTTCATACTGACAACATGAATCTGGTAGTGTATCATTTTCATAAAACTTATTCCAAATTTCAGGACCGGTGATGCCACAGCAATTATACTAAAACAATATGTAACATATATAATAATACATATATATTAATCATGAAATATGAAATCATATATGATTTCTAATAAATGGTTTGAAATTAGCTAAAATAATGCTAATCAAATTTTAAATTTGAACGATTCGTACCTCTGATTGTATTAAGTTCAAGACATCGCCATAAAGCAACTTCTCATTACTCGTTGTTGTTGTTCTATTGAGCATATTTTCTACTTCACGGTGCAAATTGGGGAGCATGAGAAGTATCTGGGGCAGTATAATAATTTCCATTAAGAGTATTATGAAACCCAAAACACTTTTGTAAAGTAACAGATATGGATTTCTCCAAATAAGTCCTACAATGCCGATTATACAATTAAACAACATTATCTCCGCGAAAATAAGCGGCAAAACAGTCCAAAATTTCAACAATTTATATTTTTCATGCACTGCTTTTCCAAGTGCATAGACAGGTAGTGCTATAAACTAAAATTAAAAACAATAAATTAATTACAAGTAAACTAAATAATTAAGTTTAGTAAAGTAATAAAATTGCAATGATATTTTTAATCACGAAAAAAAACATTATATCGTAATTTCAAGCTATAAGTGCATATCAGACGTTTAAAATATATTTATACATTATAAAATGATATATCATATATAACGGAAAAAAACAGAACAATCAATTTCCATAAATAACTTGCCTTTATTCTTTTTCTCACACCCACGATAAACTTAATAAGCTATAAGCCACTATTTAACCTCAACCTCCACATTAAAAACATTCAACCAAAATACTGGGAAGGTAGTGACTACTTTTAGGGTGCACTACATTTCACAACCATATAAACAGAAAAGGTGCTGAAACTAACTATTGACTGTCTACCTCTCCACTACCCACATTAAAATTCTCCAATCAAGATATGATGAGTGTAGTTGGTACTTCATAGGTACACGACATTTTACAACAATGTCGTAAAAAGAAGTACTGTGACTAACTATTGACTAACTGCCTCTCTAGTTTCTATTTGCTGACTACTTCTTCAGCTACTATTGACTAACTACTTCTCCAGTCCCCACTTTAAAATTCTGTAATCAACATACTACGAGTGTAATTAGTACTTCATGGATACACAACATTTTACAACAATGTAAACATAAAAAGTACTGAAACTCACCTTTGACTAACTGCTTCTCCAGTTTCTATTGACTAACTACTTTTCAAGTCCCCACATTAAAATTCTTCAATTAAGATACCATGAGTGTAGTTGGTACTTCAGGAGCACATGACATTTTACAACTATATAAAAATAAAAAGTACTAGGGCTAACTATTGACTAACTGCCTCTTCAATTCCCACATTCTGATTCTCCAACCAAGATACTATGCCTGTAGTTATTATTTTATGGGTTCATGACATTCTAATCCTATATAAATATAGAAAATACTAGAACTAATTATAGACTGACCACCTTCTCATACACCTCTGGTAAATCAACTAAGTATATGTAAGTATATGTAAGTATATAAGTATATGTAACTTAATCTATTCTTCAGGATAGACATACCGAAACGATTTGACTGCTTGTCTAGAAAGAGACGTACAGTGACAGAATAAAGTATCAAATTTCACCTCATACTCTTTATAGCTTATTCAGATTTCGCTACTAATCGCGTAACTATCTATCAAACAATGAACTGTAATGACGGACATAAGCAGAGATATTTTTCCTTGAACTTAGGTATCTTTTTTTCTTTTGTGACATAAAACTGGCTTAAGTTTTTTTTAAATACTTTTCACTTTTTAACAGTCATACTTTGCTGTTGCAGTTGTGGGAACCTACCTATGCATAATATTATTATTCGAAATCTAAGTACCATATAATTAGCAGTAAAAATCTTAGAGATTATAAAAAAACTCTAAAAAATTTAAAAGCTTTTTTAAGCAATGTTTCAAAATATAAAATCAAAACAACAATATTTTGTTGGTATGGTTGGACTAAATTAAAATTAAATAATAATATAATGAGAATTACTGCTTTTTGGAAAAATTATTTTTAATTTAAAATTTAATAGCACCAATTTTATTTTTAAATAAAACAAAAAACATTTTAAACCCTAATACAATATTTACAAACTAAGAGAAAATACATTATTTGTTAATTTAATTTTAAAATAAAGTTTAAACTAATAATAATAAAAAAATTTTAAAGAATTCAGCTTAACAAAAAACTGTAAAATAAATTAACAAGTTTAAAAAAATATTTTACAATTATAATAAAAAATTTAGTACAATATGATATATTAACAATAGATGTATAAAATAAATAAAAAAATAATAATATGTTTGTAAAATTAAAACTGAAGGAAATCGAATTTTAAACAAATTTAAAAAAAAATATTATTTAAAAATGTTTAAATGTGAATAACCATATAAAAGTTGAAAATTTTTTAAAAAAATTTATTGCATAATAGATAATAGATACATAATAGATAAACAGAATATTAGGAGTTTGAAAAAATGAAACTTACTATATTTACGAAGATCCCACAGACCAAAATTAATACAAGACAATTGGGACTGATTCCATAGTCGCGGTTTATACCAAAGCAGGGCATATTTATTATATTTTTATATTACAATTTAAAATTGTAGTTTAGTTTTTCTAATTTAACGTCTTCACAGTTCTAATATATTATTAAAATTGTTTTTTACTTCCAATAAATTTTAATATCGTAGTTATGATCTTAAAAAAAAATTATTAAACATTTATTAAAAAATTAAAATGATAAATACGTTTTTTTTTATTTTCAATATTTTGTAAAAATATTATATGCTAAAAATATTAAAATGATTTATATAATAAATATAAATATAATTTAAATTAAATAACATATTCATTATTTTTGTATTTAAAAGGCACAAATAACAGTTATTTATGCGTTTAAAAAAAAAAAAAGCAGAATGTAAGAGTTATTTCTGCGTGAAAAAATAAAAGGCACACGATAATAATATAAAGCAAATTTATTTATTATTTTGATTACAGTCCCTGAATTTATATGATCATATATTAAATTGATTTTCATCACTTTTTTTAAGAATTAAGAATTTTTTTTTAAATTCTTAATATAAAATATTGTTTTCAAAAGAGAATTATTTTGAACAGCAGTAAATTACAAGAACAAATATTTATTATTTATTAATTAATTGAATTTTTCGCTGATCATACAGATGCTTCGACTATTGCCAAGTACTCATAATCCGTGGTCTGGAAATTTTTTCTTATATTTAAATATTCGTGAATAATTTTTTGAGACTGCAAACTGATATTTGTGAGCTGCCAAATTGCTACGTATTACTTGGAAGTTCATTAATTAATTCTTTTTTGTTGGAATGTTTTTATTAATGTGTAAATATTGTCATATATCTTTACATATAACCTCATCACAAAAACAACAAAATAGAGTAGTTTTCTTATCTTTATTTTTCTGATAGCAAAAGTAAATATGTCCTCGCTTGCCAGCTACTTTTTGCGATGTTAGGATTTTCATTGGTGATAGCTCATGAATCAGTTCAAGCAATAGAGTTTGCATACTGTATTTTTTTCAAGCAATTATCAGTCTCTATGCTTTTAATAAGAGCAATGATATTCGTAGTATATTTTATCATTTTTCCAGGGTTGTTATAATAATAATAGCTCAACTGATTTAGTGTTCTGTTATTACTTTGCTCTCTATTCAGAACATATCTCTTGGACAGTATATTATATAGAAAAAAATATACAAAGCATGTAAAATATTAACTGAAATATTTTTATATATACGAGGCCGGTTTGATAAGTCAGTGACTACATATTTTTTCCGCAAATAAACATTTTATTTTTCTACATACTCACCTTTTAGCTCGCTAAATTTTTCTAATTTTCTTATTCCCTCCAAATAATAGGTTTTCTCAAAGATCTTATAATACACGTTTGTTTCGGTAATGACTTCTTCATTCGACTCAAATCTCTTACCGCCCAGCCATTTCTTTAGGTTTGGTAGTTCGTATTTCAATTCGTGGATTTTGGTCCGTAATGCTTAGTCAGCACACGAAGTTCAGTTTTTTCCATTTTTGTAAAAATTCACGAGGTTGTTTGCTTTGAACGACTATCAAACACCAACTGAACGACGTAGCTTGCTCAAAATTAGGAAGTTGCCCACTGGTAGATTACAGCTGACGGCAGCACTGTTGCATTTGGAGTAACTGCGCGGGTAATTCAAAAATTCACTGACTTATCAAACCGCCCTCGTACAATAAACCTATATTTATATTATATCAATATATCTATCAAATATTTAAATAATCAAATGAACTGTTTAACAGAAATTTCTTTTAAAATCTTTAAATGGATGAACCTAAAATGGATTTTTAAAGTGTAAACCAAATTCATGCGAACTACTGAATACTGTAGTAAATCCCTGCATTGGGAATAAATTGACAGCACCATCTGAAAGCCTACAAAAATTCCTGCCATATGCAAAAACTATGGAACAACAAAGTTTGCATGCCTCACTGATTTGCTTCTGTTGCACTTTACATTCTCGATGAGGTTTTTGCAGGCAGCTAGACTGGCTTGAGTTTCACGTCTGAGTATGTTTTTGTTATTTTTAGTAAAAATCACAAATTCATGCAGTTTTTTCTCAAAGATACTATGAAAATGAAAAACAGAAAAGTTCAACTAATTGTCGTGCATAACTGAACTGAACAACTTTCACAAACAAGTTAAGTCTAACTGGCATAAAATTTTGAATATGTAAATATTGGTTGCTTACCTAAAATTATGCATAGCAACATTACTAAACTAACATTTCAACAAATTCAAAACAATAACATTGGCAATACTACACAAACAACAACAGCAGCAACAACAACAACAACAACAAGCAACAAGCAACCATAAACACATTTCAAGCAACAGAATTTTGTGGTTCCCATAAATTGTTTACACAGTGCCATTTCCACGATCATAGTTCGAACTTTATGTGTGGTCATTAAGTCCTTCAAGCTGTTGTGCTTCTGCATCGATGCGTATATTATGTATCTGTGTGTGTATCTGTGTGAGTATCCGTGAGAGTATCTGTGTGTGCTATGCGACTGTGCATGTGTGTGCGTATAGTTTACAGTTAAAACATTTCCGCAAATTAACATATTTCTGGTCTACAAAATGGTATCACTGCTACTAAGGCTTCCAAATTGCCATAGGCAAATGCAAATTTACGTTTGCGGTTTCGTTCCACAATTAATTGCACGTTAAGTTATTAATAAATTTAATTATGCATTAAACACACAAATACACAAACTTCAAAATGCACAAAGCACAGCACAACACAGCGGAAAACATTCCAACAAAATTGTACACTGCAAAGGATCCGAAGCAGGATGTGCCTTATTTGTGTTTATTTTCCTTACGGTTCGAGCAGCAATTTGCGAATTTAGTTTTGGCACAGCTGAAAAAATTTTATTCCTGTGCATTTTAATGAAGTTCTTAAGTTCATTTAAGTTTTAAGAGAAGCAACAACATTATTCATATTTCA